GAGGTTTCCCGTTTTTCCTTGGATGAGAGTTTTCCCCAGGGGTTGGTGAACTGCCTTGTGAAGACTGCAGGTAATATGAAAATAACCATACTTGCCTTGAGGCTTGTTTGATGAGCTGCTTTCCTGCCATCTGAGAGGGCTGTTGTTCAGTGACCCCACAGCTCAGATAGGTGGCTCTTAGTGGAGATACCTGTCAGGTGTCCTGCTGAGATGCACCAAGGTGCCTCACTCAGGTCGGGAGCTGATGGCAGTTCCCTCTTCAAGCTCCCTACGCTGTTGGAGCAGCGTCTCTGCCCTGCAGGTTTGTCTGCGTTGGTGGAGCGTTCCAGCACCAGCAAAGCTCAGATTTTTTTACAGAATGCACCCGAGGGAAGGAAAAGTTTACAGTCACCTTTGATGTGTGCAGGAATTCTGTTTTCAGATGCTTTTGAGGTCAGTAGAAAGAACTTTATATTTGCAAGAATGCTGGCAGGAAGCAGAAGTTGAACAAAGGTGCTCTGGCTCTTGCTGTGAAGCTGCTGCTGTAGCCACTGGTCGCTTCTAGGTGGCACCATGAGAAAGAGAATCTGTGCCTTCACCCTCTGTGAGAGGCCAGTTGTGGAGCTGCCTGGGGCTCTGGTGGTCAGAGCAGCTGGCAAATACTTCAGGAGAAAATAGGAAAGGAATGAACTTGCTCTGCTGTGATAGAACTGGCTGAACTCTGAATTGCATTTTCCACAAGTGGAAGCAATGGTTGTTAAGTGACAAATTGGTTTTGCTTCAGTGCCAAAAGTGTGATTGTGTACAAAATTTATATACACAGATCTTCTCTAAAAGCTATTATCACAAGAGAATTACTCGTTTTTTCTAAATATTTAAATGTGAGACTGCTTTATAAATATTTAAATGTGAGACTTTTATGAAAGAGTCTCATGGAACAATTATACTGTATGTGTACATAGATCAAATAAATTATACTGTATGTGTGCATAGATCAAATAGAATAAAGGTTTTTATTCCCATCTGAAATTTGATTCTTAACATTATTTAATGTTTTTCTCCTTTTGAGTAGGAAAAATCGTAATATATTCCAGTTCACAGCCATTTTTCAACTTCTTGTTGTTATCAGAGTACATGGCAGCTTCTAGTTTTGTCTGAAGGAGGAGGTGTCTGTTTAAAGTAGTACATATTTTTTTTAAAATTTCTCTAAGAGATTATAGTGAGGAAGTAATCTCATGTGCTGACTTGTAAAGCAAAATGTTAACAAAAAAAAGATCCAATCTTTGATTTTTTTTCTGAAATGTTTAGTTCAGAGCAAGATGATGTTCTGGTGGGAAATAAAAATCCAGATCTGTGTAACATAGAACTACATAACTAAAATATTCCTTTTCTTTTTCAGCAGCTCCATGAGACTGTGAAGAGAAAGCTTGATAGTGCTGCTTCCCCTCAGAATGGTGACCAGCAGAATGGCTATGGTGATGTGTTTTCTGTGTCCAAGAAACTGCGTCGTGAGGATGGTCTGGGAGTGAGTGGTTCTTCCAATGGAATGCCCCCTGTGTCTCCACTCCATCATCTTGACAAGAAATCTGGTGCTGGTGATACTTTGCAACTTAATGGGAAACATCCAATGGGGCTTGATGGCATCAGCAAGAAGTGTCTTCCAGATTCCAGCCTGCAGATGAATGGAGGTGGTGATGCTGATGATTCATTTCCTATGAGTTTGAACAAAGAGCTGAAGCAGGAGCCTGTAGATGAGCTTCCCTGTATGAATCCTGTAGCAGGGGGTTCTATATCTCAGAATAACCTGATGCCTGATCTTAATCTAAATGAGCAAGAATGGAAGGAGCTTATTGAGGAGCTCAATAGATCAGTGCCCGACGAAGACATGAAGGATCTCTTTAATGATGACTTTGAAGACAAAAAAGATGCAGATTCTTCAAATTCAGCTGCACAGACTCCATTACCACAAGATATTAACATAAAGACTGAGTTTTCCCCAGCACCCTTTGAACAAGAACAGCTGGGATCTCCCCAGGTTAGATCTACTTCTTCAGGTTCAGCATTTATTGGTGCTGCTTCTGTACCTGTAAGTGCCACTTCTACAACGGTTGTTAGTTCTCAGGCTATGTTCCAGCCTTCCAGTCAGTCAATGACTGAAAATCCTAATCAGCCCATGATGCAGGCATCAAACCACTCTCAGAACATCCAGAGGCCTGTGTTGTTACCTGGGAAGTGTGCAGGAAGTGCCAAAGAAATGTCTTCTGCTCATCAACTTCAGCAGATTGCTGCCAAGCAGAAGAGAGATCAGATGTTGCAGAACCAGCAACAAGCTTCACAAGTCCACCAAACAAATCAGATGTCCACGTGGCAACAGCCTGGGGCTTCCCACAGTCCACTGGCTGTCCCATATACCATGGAAAATCCTACTAGCCCATCGGTTTATCAGCCAGATTTCAGCAATCCGAAACTCCTGATGCCTAATTTGGGAAATAAAAGCTCACCAAGAGCTGGAGGCAATTATCATGTGAACATTTTGGGTCATCAGCAAAACAGCTTGAACCAGAACCCTGTGAACAGTCAAAGCTCTATGCTAGACTATGGGAACACCAAACCTCTTTCCCATTACAAAGCAGAGTGTGAGCAGGGGGTGGCAGTGCCTGGGCAGAACAAGACTCCCATGCTGGCGTACATCCAGCAGCGCCAGCAGCCACCACTGTCCCATGTAGGTGATGACCAAAATGGGATGATCCTGTTGAAACCCAAGCCTGGAAACATTGCCTACAGACTGCCACATGGTCAGGTGAATGTCCTGAGTTACCTTTGCTCAGTAGCAGATTTAAGGTTGTTGGGTAGGTAAGGTTGGAATGCAGATTCCTTGGTGTAGTTTCAAATGTTTTCATTGATTTTAAAGAGAAAAATCCTATATACAAGAATCTTAGACAAGAACCATGAGGTCTTTTTTCCACTGGGGACAGTTTTTAATACTGGGTTCTAGGTCATGTAACATGTGATTTCCAGCTTAATATACTTTGTGGGCAACAAATTATGTCGTGCTTCACAGAAGCTTCTACTTTCAAAGATAAATAGATGCTTTGTAAACTTTTGACTAAAATAACTTGTATAAAACTGCAGTGTTACACAGTGTTCTCAAAGAAGCTTTGATTTCTTTACCTTGTTTTTAGTCCCTACTTGTGTCAGAGTTGGCTTACTATTAAAAGACCTACTTTTGCAGAGAGGTGGAAGTGAGGGCTGCATTCCTGATTTCTTGGGTGTTCCATGGAGCTTTTCAGTTCTGTGAATTTTTATTGGTTAAGTCTCTGGGCATTGGGGAAGCATGGCATAAGAGAGAAATATATCATTAAGAATGAATAATGGTAATGTTTGTTTGCTTGAAGCATATGCTTCAGGTTTTCCTGTAACAGAAAATTCCAGATGGTGCTCCTTTGCCTTGTATAGAACTGTTACTGCAGGTATGCTGTAGGTGAAAATTTCTGTAGTAGTGGGCGGAAGTATAGACTCATTGGATTCTGTAACATGTACCTGCAATGCACATACAAGAGAGCTTGTTGAAAAAAAAGGTATTTGATTAAAGTTCCTCCAGCAAAAGCTGTTTCAGATCCAACTCTAGTTGTATGTTCCCTCGACAAAACAGAGAACCAGTGAAAAAGCTCTGATTAGTCTGTGATAAAGGCCACACCGGTGTACAAATAGAAATTTGAGATCAATGTGTACTTCATAAAAAAAATTAATCTCTTTGAAGGCTGGCAGAAGTAACAGTCTAACAGCATTTTGATGGAAGAAGGATAGAGATGAATGTGTGTGTCACGTCTCCCTCTCACTGAAAATCATGAGGGTGACCTTGTGTCTACACTGCCACACTTGCACTGAACTAACAGAAATACTGATGAAAGCTTCAGGAGAATATCTCAAAAGCTTGCACACAGAACAACTTAGTGCAGCATTCCTTGTATTTGGCTCATGATTCCTTATGAAACTGAAAAGTGAGAACCAACAGCTGAACCCATTAGCTGAATGCTTAAATTGAACATAACATTTGTTTGTATAGTTAGAGATGAGGCTGAACTGTGCTTTAAAATGTGGAAACTGTCAAATTTCAAAGGGATTTGCTGGTACTAAGAGGGCAGTATCAGATCTTGAATGTTCCATGTTATTTTTGCTTATCCCAAGTTCCAGTCTCAAAAAAAAAAAAAAAAAAAGCCAAAAAAATGCACACTTAAGAAAAACTAATATTATTAGACTTATCTCTAGTAGTATTTTTGTCTGTGGTGCATGGTGATGGTTGGATTGCTGGAAAAATACTTTAAGATCCGTTTTGCCCAGTGGAAGCCTTCTCCCCTTCACCTGCAAATAGTAAATTCTGTGATATTAAAAAAGGCAACTTTAGGATAGGAGACAAACACTTTCAGAATGAGATGTTGACAGAAGAGGCAGGATTTCAATAAATGCTTTGTATGACAAAAATATAAAATGTAGTGTTTGAAAAACTGCTACCAAAATAAACTGAAGCTGGGGTGTTTGAAGAGCAGTTTGTACCTGCCTGGAAAAAAGCACACCCTATACTCACCTGTTTGAGCAGGAAATTGGGAAGTACTTTGAGAATGGAGTTAAAGCTTCTGTTCCTAAATGTTGTGGAGCTTCTGTGGCAGTTCTGTGTCTGGCGCTGTGTAGATGTGAAGAAGTTACTGCATTTCTGTAACTTTTATCACTTTTCCTATGTTCTGCAGGATCAGAACCCCACTCCTACTGTTCCTCGTGTTCCCGTTTCTGTCCCGGGCCCTGGGGTGGGTGCCCAGGCTCCAAATGTCTCCATGGCAGGTAACCACAGCAACTCAGCTTATCAGCAGCAAGCAGCAGTGATGAAGCAACACCAAATGCTGATGGACCAGCAGAAGCAGAGAGAGCAGCAACAAAAGCACCTGCTCATGGAGCAACAGAAGCAGCAATTCCTAATGGAACAGAGGCAGCAGCATTTGTTGGCAGAACAGGTGAGAGGGGCCAGCTATCTGTTTTTTAGCTTGTGCTGCTTTGCTTTGGTGCATGAAATAGCATTTGATGTTTTAGAATCAGAGAATAGTTAGGTTGGGAAGGACCTTAAAAATCATCTCAGTTACAATTCCTCTGCTATAGTCAGGGGGCACCTTCCACTAGACCAGGTTGCTCCAAGCTTGAAACATTTCCAGAGATGGGGCAGCCACAGCTTCTCTGGGCAACCTGTTCCAGTGCCTCACCATACTCACAGTAAATAATTTCTTCCTAATACCTAAATTGAACCTAACCTCCTTCAGATGGAGGTCTTGTATTCTCCCTTGCTATATCACTTCATGCCCTTTTGAGACACCTGCCCCCTCCAGCCTTCTTGTAAGGTACTAAAAAGTGCTCTAAAGTCTCCTTGAATCATCTGCCTATGAGAAGCTTTAAGAAAGAAGGAAATTATAGTCTCCTCTGAACAGAAAATGTATGACAGCCCATTTTGTGGGGAGGGTTGTAGTAGACTTTGCAGTATTGTGGAGCTATGGCTGTGCCAAGTCCTAGCCAAAGGCTCTTTTATCACCTGGAGACATCCTGATGAAATTGAGGTCTTAATAGAGATGACAGAAAAAACCCCTCAGTTTTGGAGCCAGTGTAGACAAAACATACGAATGTGGTTGGTAGTGTATGAATGTTGGTAAGGATATGTTTTTGATATTTGGGTTAAAACAATTTGGACTAAGAGAATAGTGTGGGGGAATTATATTATTTAAGACTGAAAGAAAATGCCCAAATCTTCAATAAAATCGCATATTCTCTATGAGTCATGTGATCTGTAAGCTTAGAATACTTTTTAGTAAATCCATCAGTCTTTGGTGACATGTATGTTAATATCAAATGTCAAAGATGAGTGATCATGACTCTCCAAAATGTTAACCATTAGGTATTCTTTGAGAGCAGGTGGGGAGAAAGGTAGTATGGGGTGTGACCTCCTGTTTGTGTTTTTGCATGTCTGGTGGATGGTGATTATTAGAGCTTTGTTAGAGCTCTTAGAGCTGTGGCCCAGTAGATTTCCTTAGGACAATAATGGAACTAACAGGTGTCAGACCTCTCTGAAGAGCGGGGAGGTGATAAGTAGCGTATCTCAAACATAGCATTGAAATGTTATTTCCCTATCTATTTGCTTCTGCTTTGCCAGCACATGTTGCTGCAGTAAATATCAGTATTATGGAAATAACTTCATTCATGTCCTAGTTATGGTAACTACAGTTAGCTTCTGTAATTTCCATTTTTCTCTAGTGATGCTGGGACTCTGATCCCAAATAAGAAGTGGCTTTGCCTTGGAGTTGAACAGCTTTAGACACTGCATTTGCCACATTTGTTGGCCTTGTGCTGCCTAGTCAAGCTCAGTCTTGTTAGCATTCTGATTTGATATTTGTTTCTTTGCATACACATGATACTGGATGTAGTTTTACAAGAAGATTTCTGAATCTGCTGATGTCTACGTTGCAGGAGACTTGTAGTTTCAGGTAGTCCAGTGCCATTCCCTGCCACTATAAATTTGTCTTTTCACTTGGCATTCTGCGTATTTTTAATTTTTTTTTCTCCTGGCCAGGTTCTGCAGTTCTTAGTTTCTGTCAGAGCTATGGCATCTCTTGTTGGCTTCCGTGGTCAGCCTCTTTCAGGTCTGACTGGTCCTGCAAGCAGTAGGTCCTCTGTCAAGCAGCCTGCCCTCTTCATTCCTGTGCATGTCTCAACAGCTTCGCAGCTGGAGACGTTTGGGAAGGGTGGTAGCGATGTGTATCTGCTGTTTGTTACATTGCACCAGTCTCTTCTGTAAAGGCTTCTGGCTTGTGTCTTCAGCCTGATACTCTTGGAAGGGAATTTCTGTCCCTTGCTGTGTTCTGTGTAACTTTTTGGATAAGCTGGTTGGTGTGCATTGTATCACTACTTGATTATGTCAGAATTTCAGTCTGGCTGAAGGTATCTACAGAAGAAGAGACAGAAATGCTGTGCCTGATACATTTCATATTGTAAAAGCAGCCAGATGGGTTTTAACACTGTCAGAATCTGTGCCTGCTGTCACTACATCTACATTCCCCTCAAGAGTTTAAATTTAATTTTCCTCCAAAGTTTTGTAATAGAAAATTTGCTTGGTTTATTTCTAAAATGGTTTGATCATAAAATAGGTGTGGGTTGAATCTGCTTTTATTTTAAAGAGGCACAATTTTGTATCATGAGTAGGGTTTGATTCTGTTGATCAGTGCGTTGATAAGAAAGTGGTTTGAAACAATGGTTGCAAAACTTGTAGACTTCTATTATGGACTTAGTTCTGCAGTTTTCCATAATCTTCTAAGAAAACCTACAATTTATGAGAATATGGATTTGTGTGTGTCTTTTCATGTTTGCAGACAAGGACTAGAAAATATTTACATGTTTGGTTTTTGATATTTCTAACATTAACTTTTATTTATTTCTGAAGAGAGGTCTAAAATACATTGTTTGGAAATAAAGACCAAAAAAGTAAATGTGGGTTTTTTTAATACACTCACTTCTGCTCTTTTTGTACCTGTACCCCTTTTTGTCTTTAGAATATTCCTAAAAATGCCTGTTGATTATGTTACTGATGAGGAGACTAACATCTCAGATTTTCAGTCTCCGAAAGGCTTCAGACATGCACTGCAGAGACTCTTGTAGCGCATGCTGTTGTCTCTGAGATCCGGTCTTGTCACTCATCAGGTTAAACTGACTGTGTTTGAGCCTTGAGAACAAAGTCAGAAGTGACTGTAGGGCTGCAGAAGCCCCTTTGATTACCAGCTGTGCATAAAAGTATGCAGACAACTTGTTTTTCTCCAAGATAGCCCTTGGGAAAAGCTTGATGAGTTTTCAAATTGTCTTGCATTGGACCTTTCGTAGGAGAAGCAGCGGCAGCAGCAGGAGCAGCAGCTGCAGCGGCACCTGACACGGCCTCCTCCCCAGTACCAGGATCAACCACAGAATCCATACCAGCAGCAGGTTGGACAGTTCACAGGTGAGTAAACATGGCCATTGAAACAATAGCAGAAAAAATACTAGGAGTGAAAAACAAGGTATCTTCAAATTTCCTGGACTGGATAGCTTTAAATTCATTTATTATATGTCACTCTACCTTAAAAGCTCTTGACCTATACTCTGATTCAGTTGCAAATTAACAGCTTCCCTGGTTACAGGTATCTGGGACAACTTAAGCTTCTGATTCTTTATGTTGTTTGGGAAATTAGTAAAATTTTTAAGTGCCTTCATTCTTCTACAGACCTTTTTTATACTTCTGTTTCACTGTGCAGGTTGGAAATTCTCTATATCTTTGATATAATTAGATTCAGAGGGTTTTTTTTCTGAAGCCTGACATCACTACTGCCTGTATCTATCACAGGCCCTCATTAAAGGAAGAGAAGTGGTGTATTATTTCTCTCATCTCTAGGATGAGTTTAAAAGTCTCTAACATTTTTATCCCTGCTACCTTTAAAAGGGAATGCAATTTGAATTTTCCTCATTACATGTGAAGTGTCCTATGTTGAGTTTTTTGTATGAGAAGCAGCTTAGTATGTCTGTAGTGTATTAATTCTGTTAAATAAAAGATGTTGTAACTGTTCAGCTGGAATAGCTTCAAAAATGTGGAAGAACTAGAAAGCAATAAAAGCTCATCTTTTTACCTTAAAAGCTGTTACTTGACAGGGCATCAAGAAGCCACTTGTCTTTTTTTTATAAGCCTACATTAAAAGAAAATTTCCCTTCATTTTGTTTTCTTACTCTCCATATTCCTGCAGAAATAAATACTGAAGGGGTAAGATGCAAATGGAAATGTAATACCCTCACCCTGGCATTGTTCATGCCTGTGCAGTGTCAAGTGCAGCTACAACTGGGTTTTGTTACTTAACTGAAAAAACTCAATGCCAATACAAAAGGATTGCCTGCTAATGCAGGCATCAGTAGCACCCTTCAACTATTGCACTGAAATATTTTTTGTCTTGCCACTTTTCCACAGAAAGATAGGCATACAACTGTTAAAGTAGGTTTTGCTATAATGAATATCAGTACTATTAAAATATTTTTTCTTTGTGATGATGATTGTAGCTATTTTTTGCATCTTAAATCCTGATATATATGCTGTCTCTTCACTGCAAATATTGTCACAGTAAGACTCTTCCCCCATCCATCCATTCCCTCAACAATGATGTTTTTATGATGTACTTTGTTGATAATTAATTCAATATAATTTGAATTTATTTTTGATAATTCTGTTTTTATTCAAATAGAATATTAGTAATAATGGAGAGCCAGTACTTTTCAGCTGTCATAAAATATGAAAAAAAATCTGCAGCTTACTTTTGGTTTTGAAAATAGAGAAATTATTAGTGTAGGTAGGTTTCCCCTGATTGACTGTAAGTAATGGGGGGTGTTACATGCACTACACTTTACAGAGCTTTTCTGGGTTTTTTTTGCTTCAGATAGGGGGCTGTTTCTTCTACAAGAAGAAATTTTAAACTTTTTGTTATTGCAATAACAAAGGACTGTATTTGGTTTGCTGAGAAGACATTTTTCCAAATCACCTTGCTTTGCTGTCAGCACTGCGTATTAACATAGTGAATACTTTACTGTGAAAATCCAAAAGATACTTGACCAGAAATTTCTGATTTAGATATTTCTATATTAGATAAATAGAAGATATTCTTGGAATTGGGAAAATGTGGAACTGGCAACCCTACACTTGTATAATACGAGATGCACTCTTGTGTATGCATGGACTGTCACTGTGTGTGTGCAATAAGAGGTATTTTTTAACAGCTTAGTAAATTGTGCATGCACTTCAAAGTATATGTGTTTACCTTTGTTACAAAGAAATATCAGAATCCTGCCTTTAAAGTCATAACTTTTTTTTAAATTAGTGATGCTGAACTCTTAGAAGTGGTATTCATATTTTTTTAGGACATTGGCATATCTGTGTTTGAGATCAAGGTGGTGGTGCTAACTGGAGCCACAGTTGACACTCTTTAATTAAACTCCTGCTCTCTGTGTGTTGCTTGCAGAGGTCAAATTTATACAAATGCAGCTGCATCTCTCTTCTGGGTTATTGTGCCTACAAGCCTGGCTTGGCTGTGGTTGAACCTGAGGTATTTAATGAAGAAAATATTTCTTTGTATTTCAGGGTCATCTTCAGCCATGCCCGGGGTCAGTAATTTAGGACAGTCCAGCTCCGGTAGTCCTCGGCTATTTCCTCAGAGCCAGAACATGATTCAGATGGGACCTGGACACGCTCCTGTTGCTCCACTGCAGTCGGGCTCCAGCCAGCAGGAGCGAGGGGTGTCTCAGTACCCCAGCATGCAGAACATGCAGCGCGGGGGTTTGTACAACCTGGCACCTGGCATCAGCCAGATGGTTTCCCAGCACACGACTCCCAGTGCCAATGGACAGACCCCGATGCAGAGACAGGGCAGCTTGGGCCAGGCTGCTGCTGTTCCTGCTGCCTATGGGCAGAACACCTTACCAAACTCAAGTATTTCTCAGCAGCACAGTAAAGGTGCACTGAATGCAACCTTATCTAAGCCACAGATGGCAAGAGTACCAGCTGCTATGGGGGCTCAAAATCCATCTTGGCAACACCAAGGTATCCCTAATATTAACAACCAGACACAAGCAAACAGTGGGTTAGGACCATTTACTGCCAATTCCTCTTTCCACATGCAGCAAACACATCTAAAGATGTCCAACCAGCAGTTTGCCCAGGGAATGCCTCAGGTAAGCCTAAGCACCAGCAGGCCCATGACCTCGATGAACGCTGCCGTCTCTGGGCAGATGCTGTCGTCCTCTTTGGGAGCACCGCCGCGGACAAACCCGCCCGCACAGCAGCAGGTACCCTCGCAGCAAGTCTTGCCTGGCATCAACCAGACTGTTCCAGACCTGAATGCTTTCAACCAGAACCCAAATCAGCAAATTCCCAACAGAGGAAACCTCCACTGTAGCCAAGGGTACCCTGTGAGGACAACCAGTCAGGAGCTGCCTTTCGCCTACAGCAGCCAGTCAGGCAATAATGGACTTCAGAACTTAACTGGTGACACAGATCTGATAGACTCTTTGCTGAAAAACAGGACTTCAGAGGAGTGGATGAACGATTTGGATGAGTTGTTAGGAACTCATTAAAATGGGGCCGGGGGCGGGGGGTTCTACTTTTTTTAATTATTTCATGAGATATTAACAACTCTTGGACCAAAAAACCTGTGGCATTGAGGAGACTTTCAGGCATTAGAGGTAAATGGTTGGGAAAAAGACTGGAGCTGCTTCTCACTGAGTGTTGACATGTGGTCACAGCGCACCAAGCAGGTCTGCAGGAGGAGTGCGCTTTGGCTGCGGCCTCTGAGGAGTCGCACACTTGAACAGGTCAAAAAATACTGTGTCCTAGCCAGCCTTCCAGAAATCTCACTTGCAGTGTTCTAAGACTAAATATTTTAATTATTTAAAAACAAAAGTTCCACAGAACTAGTGCAGAAAGAACGCAAATAGTTGCACAAATTGTGTTTAGGGCTTAGTCTGCAGCTATTACTTGCAATAATTATTTGTTCATAGCTTAACATGCTGTTATAGTACTGTCCATCAAACTTCTGATTTTTGTTTGAGAAGAGGCTGTATGCACCTGAGTATGCTTGCAAAATGTTTGGAATTGTTTCTTTTCCCCATTGCTGAAGCATGTGCCTGTACTCTTAGTAAGCAAGTGGTATTTCACAGTAAATATTTCTAGATGCTGGTAATAGATGAGAAAAAGTATTAAAACTTGGCCAGTTAGTCTAGATAGTCATTTTCATAGATTGTAGTCTTTTAAGCTGCAGTTTGCACTCTGTTGTAGAGAGGCACAGTTCTTGGCTTGTACCTTGCTGTGTTTAAAGGGGGAATTTCTTATGGGAGAACGTTTAAACTATAGTAGATTTAACATGAATTGTAAAGCCATTTACTTTGCACCTGTTTCTTCATAACTTATTTCCAAAGGTAGTTGTATTTAAATGAAGGCTTTGCTTCATGACAGCTCATCTAGTTTTCTTTGTTGTAAAAAGTAAAACTAACCTTTGAGATCAGTTCATCCCCCAAAGTTAGCAATGAGCACAAGACTTTGTCACTTCAGGATAAAAATGAGGAAAAAAGAATTTGACTGGGAGGTGGAAAGTCCTTATCAGCAATAATAGCACAGGCAGCCTGGGAGAATACTTGTATCAGGGTTGCTTCAGTGTGGAAGTCTCCCCCTTTAAATGCTTTGGTTTTTTAAATACTGGCTTACAAGTCTAATAATATTTCTATAGACTGGTGGATTTACTTTTTTAATATCCCTTGAAGCAGATGCTGTTCTTCAGCTCAGCCCAAGGAGATCTCTTATCCATATGTTGGGGTTGGTCCCAGAAAGGACAAAAACCACAATGGGAACAGTCAATGTTCCACAGTCCTTACTCTCTACCAAAAAAAATCCCTTATCCACCAACAAACCACCTTGCCTTAACGCTTATTTTAAAATGAAAATAAAGTTGAAAGCTTTTGTTTTAAATGCACAAATACCTCTTCCCTTTCTAAATCCACTTTCTTGGAAAACTCCTCTAAACTTTCTAACCAAACCCAGCATTGTGATTTAAAAACAATTTCCTTCAACATGGACTGGCTGCTCCAGGAGTTTTCTGAATTGCAGAATTGTGAGAGAGGGTTTTTTCCCAGAGGGAGTGAAGGGAAGGGAAAGATATCATTGGTTTCAAAGAAGGAAAATATTTTACTGTATCCACATCTCCTTTATGAGACAATTTGCACTTTTGAAAACTGCTTTTTTAACACTAATACTTTAACCCTTTCCAAATATGCATGGAACATGGTTTGTCCAGCACACTTAGCTAGTGTGGATGAATTCAGCTCTGTTGATCAGGTTTGCTATTTTATCACGTTGAACTGTTGATGAAAGATGTGCATTGATCAGTGGATCCCACCTCTGAGCAGTGAATAAAACTTCACTGAAGCAGGCTTAATCCCTCGTAGAGCTTTTGAAAAGATAGCATAGAGATTGTCTTTGGATGGGAAGATGAAGGTGTTGGTGACTTTGGTTGTTGACACTTCTGATATTTTCTAGAATAAGTAGTTGAGATGGAAATAACTGATGCTAGCTTTTCTCATACTGGCAATCTAAGAAAAGAGCTAGTGAGCTTGGTTTGCTATTAAGTTAAACCAAAAACTGGTCCAAGGTAAGTGTCATTAGAAGAGTATAGATATAAACTAGCAATGGCAGGGGAAGGAGTGTTTGCTGTATTTTTAATTTTAAGAGTTAATTTTGCACCAGTGTGCCTTCCCTTCCTGTTGGGGGTGCTTGGGACCTCAATTTTGAGTGACATCCTTACATGTCACTGTTTTTTTCTCCCCCTTACAAACACTTAACAGAAATAGCAGGGTAGTAGGATTCAGATTTTCTTTCTCCCTGTTTAGGTTGTGGTGAAATCTGCTCTCTTTTCCAGTAGATTTTGCACACAGACTTTTTTCTGAATAAGTCAAAATACAATCCATCCAGTTGTGATTTCTTAATTGGAGGAAAAGAACATCTGCTCTTTGCATTATTACTACCAAAAAGGCAATCCAGTGAAATGTCCAGGAAAAGGCAGGTGTGCTCTTTCCTCCACTGTTTCTGGAAGCTAAGGTGGATATTGCTCTGCTTGACCAGAGGGTTTGTTCAGGAAGGTATCTGGGTTTGGTGACAGGGCCTTTTCATGGTACTGTTGGAGTAAAATTAGGTGTGATTCTAGACAAACTGGCTTATAATGCCCATTGGTCTCTGTGTGTGAACAGGATCCAAGCAGCCCCTGGCTCTGGTCCCTGTGCACAGAACGTGGTGCCACTGGAACAAGGTTGGAACAGTTCAATGGAAATGAAAATATAGTTTGGATGTACATGGGTGCATGGGCAGGGCTGGGCTGTGCCCTGGTGCCCTGTAACGTGTCACTGTCTGTGTCTGCACTCGGGCTTTCCATTTGCTGCAGCTTCAGAGCAATAAAACCAATCTCCCCTGAACTGAACCCAGCCGGCCGCCCATGGCTTTATTTATAAACTGCGGTTTTGGTTGGGCAGGCAAGGTGAGAGTGTCACTGTGCAACATCCACTGCCTTCCAAAAACCACGATCCAATTGAAAAGGGTGCTCAAAATTTTGTTATACACATTTCCTTTGTGTAAATAAATGTTTACAATTTTATATTAAAGATTTGAATAAGAGTTAGATCTTCTGACTGTATATTTTTTACTTTTTATAGATTTTAAAACTATAATTCTTTATATATGTGTTTGGGGGGTATTATGGTAAGTTTTATGCTTGTAAATGGAGAACAGTTGAATTTGATGCTAACCTTTATGAATTTTTGTCATTGAAATGTATAAAGAGTCCATTAATCCCCTTATTCTTTTACTACTATTACTGGTGCACACCAAAAAGAAATCCTTCACTTCTGTTTTATCATTATAAAATAAATATTTTGCTAGTGTATTAAATATACATGGTGTGACTTTATACATTTGCATGAGCCTAGCAGAGTTCAGCATTGTCATTCTTAGTAAGGTGGTTTCTTCCATTCATCCCAACATACAGATTTTGTTCAGCTTATTTATTACTAAGGCTCAAATTCTGCTGCTGTGTCTTACAATTCTTATGGTTTCAGAAAGTCCATTTAAACAGGCCAGAACTGAATAAAGGGGCCTTAGAAAATGTAACTTTGAAAATCAGGCTTTATGCTACTCCCACTGCTTCCGGGCTTTGGTTTTGTTTTTTTTTTTCCTGGAATGCATTGTAGGCCTTAAGATGGGAAATTCAATTGCAGAGGTGGCTGTTAATAGTGAAAAAGATGTTAAAAACTACCGAGACCTACATTTGCAAAATTGTAGAGTTCCAAAATGTGCCAGTTCCCGCAGAATAACAGCCTTTAGAGGTTCAAACCGATTTCCTCAAGACTTGTCTGATGCAGGCACATGGCACACAGGAATCCAGCTGAGACATGGGACACATGCTGCAGGCAGGAGCTGATGTTTCTGAGCAAGGAATAAAGTACTGACAGCAGCGTTTGTGGAGGTCTTGGCTTAGGGCTGGTGATGTCCCATAGCCACTGCCCAGCTTCACACACTGATGGGTCATTCTGCCAGCTCTGCACTTGGTGTCATTGTGCAGTTGTGTTTGCAGCCCCAGCTCAGCCTCCAGGTTTCCTCACAGCATCCTGACTTGCCAGAGTGTATTTTTCATGTATTTTTCTGTTTGGGAGAGGTGGAGAACTTCAGTTCTGAAGTTACAGAAGTAACTTCAGAAGTTTATAAAAGAATGAAATGTAACAATCAGTAGCAGTACCAGAATCAGCTACTTTTAGCCCATGGGAAGCCATGAAGTGATACTAATTTTTGCTTTATTGTCCCATTAAAAATGCTGCATTTTAGTTATTGATGAGTGAACCAGAAATTTCCCAAACCATCCCCCACTGAAATAACATCTGTGTTTTCAAAAGATTTTAAGGAGTCAGTGGCAGCTTGTCACAAACCTTTGCTCAGAAACTAATTTGACTTTTATTTTCTTGATGACAGTGTTTTTCCTGAGAGCGATGGAAATATGTAATGGAAGTATTTTCTCAACCTGCATTGTTTTTTGAAATATGTTGTATGGAGACCCCAGTTGCATTTCCCCTCTGACTTTTATATTGGACACCACAGATAAAATCTTTGGTCACCAATAGGTTCAGTTTAAGGTTAACTTTTAGGTCTTAGTTCTATTTAGTCTGAGTCTGCTGTACCTTGGAGAGTCTGAAGTCACATCATATAAGTGTTTTTTAGAGAAAGGGAGTTGTTTTGCTATTCTACGTGTGTGGTTATATATAAAAAGTGAAACATTGGATATTTGATGATTAACTGAATTTTCAACTTGATGAGCTGCCATAATGGGGTTTTGAAGCAATGAAGAGCCAAACTAGAAAAAAATCTTGCTTGTGAGAAACTGTATGTCTGCTACATGCACAATTTCTGTAGTGAGGGTTTGTCTGTGTGACTCAACTGAGAGAAATGTAATGGCTCAACCACCCATGTTAAGGGAAAACCTTCCTGCTCTTTGATTTAAAAAATTTTAACGTCAGAGTAGTCATCTATATAAAGTTGTTTAATAACATAAGGTAACTTTTTGAACTGATGCCAAATTTACATTTGTGGAGTGGGGAGAAAAATTATTCAGGGCAAAAACATTGCTGGTTTTTACATTTTACAAGTACGACTCTGATATCAATGTAACATTCCTCAGGGTCTATGTTTCTACATCCTCTGCTACCGTCAGAAATGAGAACTTTTCTTTCGTATGTTAGCCAGGGAAAGGTTTGTATTGCCTAAAAACTTAAGAAGAGTGAGTGCTAGAAAAGAACTGTACTCCTCTTTGGTAAACTTAAAGAGTAGTAATTAGTAGGATAAAGTATCTGAATGTTCTGTTAAATCACAGAATCTGGTAACAGAATTAAGTTATTCCAGCTGGAGTGTATAGAATCTTTCATGTGGTCAACTCCACTACTTGAAATAAGAGCAGAAGGTCAAGTAATTTTGTAAATGCTTGTTTATAATTTTACAACCTTGCACATAATTGAGATGCTTCAGAGCTCATAAAAACTAGCAACAAAAAGGCTGGAAAGAATTCCATCATCTATCCATTGCTGGAAACATATAATTCAATCGTGGTATAAAATCTGTAAATGTAATTAGAAGAATTTCACAGTTTGCTCATGTAAAATTCTTCCCTGCTCCATTGTTCAACAAAAGGCACTTGGCTGGAAGGAGTAGTCATTTTCTGGTGGATGGCTGCTTTGGAAAGCCACGTGGTGTGGAGACAGTTAAGGTGTGGTGGAGGAAGCACTTATGCTCAGAGGCAGCTCTTGGAAGTGGGTGGTGGTAGGAGAGAGTGTTGGAGCAGCTATACCCAGCACATCAGGCTGGGCTTTGCTCCACAGTCAGCAGCATGAGAGATCAAATAGACCTGCTGGCCACAGTCACGGTTCTGGGGGTCCTGGAGCAAGGTAAATGTCCTTTGTACAATGCCAGTATTCAGCCAATTATGTTAAACTTTGTGGGATGTGGTTCTTGTGTTTTTCTTGGAGTGTCTGTGGAGTGAAAGTCACTGTTTTCCTACATGGTAAAATTATACAAAGTTTTGGCTGTTCAGGCAGAAGTGTCATGCCTGAGCATGGTCATTATTTAAGAGGGACTAAAATAATCTTCAAAGCCAGAAAGTAAAACTTTTAGGCTTAAAGCAATTTCAGTGTGATGTTATTAAAGTAAACTATTTTGTGATTGAATTTTAGCAGGTAATTTGTAACTTGTAGTGGCTGGAGGTAGCCAAATAAAGGCAGGTTAGTAAATGTGCTGATGAGGAAGTCGGTGTACAGACACACCTGGTGTGGATATAGGAAAGCCTTGTGCACACGGGTGTTTCTCTGTAGCCAATATCCTTGTATGTTCGTATGGCACAGAGCATACAAAGTTCCTTCAAAGGAACTCAGTGACTTCTAATTTAAATAGATGCATTGTGTTTAGACTATTTAGAAGGAGCAGTGTTGTTGCCAACTGCTTATTTGTGGGTCCTTTGGGCAAAGTCTCTCCCTCTTGAGCTTCAGGACAGTCACTCCCCTGCCTGGGATGGGAACAGAGCCCCCATTTTATTAAAATCTTCATCATTCCATAAGGAAAGGTTTGTGGGGTTTGTTGCTAATGTATTAATTCACCATTCTGCTATCACACCTCTGCTTGCTTGGGTGTGACTCTGAGCAGCATCATGTGCTTTTAGCCATCAGATGATAAATCTCTTAATACAAGCATTATTTTAAACAAAATATGCTACTTTAAAAATAGAGCTCAAGACTTCTGAATTTTCAGTAATTTACACTCAATTTACGGAGACCTACAACTACAAACAGAAGAAACTTGTACTATGAATTTTTTTTGTTATTAAACTAAGTGGGTGGGAGTGGAGCGAGTGTTTAGCATGCAAAGACAAGACATGAAGAAAACTTGAAATGAGTTACAGAAATGCTGCTGAGCCCTTTTCCTTTAGGAAACCCTCAATAGCAAATCCCTAGATAGCAGTTTTGTTTCAAATATTTTTGTTTAATGAGAATGTCAAGTACTTTTTAAAGGTTGCAGCATTAAGCATTTACTTTGATGGCATACAAGCCAGATGTGAAGCCAGCAGATAAATTGCTGGCGTTTGCACCCTCCTATCTGTTTGATCAGATGAGGTATCCTGGTTTTATGATCTCTGTGTGGGAAGCCAAGGAGCAATTGCAAAATACTGTGTGTTTCCTTTCCATCTAGTCCTGTGAAATCCGTGTGCCCATGTCACTGGGGTTCAGAGCTGTGCTTTCTCTGCATGTTTTGAAAGGGCATTCTGCAGGTGAGCTACAGGTCTGGGATTCACTCTGAGCAGGGGAGCACACTGAAGCATGGACATGGGCTATCCCTACAGACACTCCTCCATCACATCCTGGTGCAGGAGATGGCATTTAATGGCTGACCTTGGTACAGCGTTGGTTGATTTTTATGTTTCCTTTTGAAGTTTCTGGGAGCCTGCATTTTCCATGTTCTTTCAAGTAACTTTTCTCAATTTAGTCATTCTCGGTTTAGTGAAACCCTGAGTTTAGCTCTCTGTAGATGTGTGCCCCAGCCTTGTGGTGAACATTGTACCACAGAGCAAAATTATTCTACTCCAGTTTCCCCCCCCACCCCCTTATTTTACTGCTTCAAAGGAAAGAAAACTTATGCAATGTCACTGTCAGGCCCCAGAGGGCTTGTTTGCCAGGTTCACTCAAATGTGGCAGATAGCAGGTATGATATGATTTGACAAGTTTGTGGACATAATCAAATAGAGAATGAAGAATATTTCCACTGAGGAGCAAAGTTCAGGGAGAGCTGAGCCCCTAAGCCACATGGGAATCCACACAGGTGATTAACCTCGAGACATGAATCACAAAAGGAAATGCTTTGAAAGGTTCTGCAGAATAGATTGAACTCTTTTTCTCTAAGAGTCCATGCTGAGAAGGCTCATGCAGTGTGGGGTTTTTTTAACACCTCATTCTGGGAAGTGCTTTTGTGGACTGGTTCTTCATTCTCAGTTCTTCACCCTAAGACCAGGTTTGGGGAACAGCTAGCTGTCCTCTAAAAGGCTCCTGCTTTTTTTGGGCTGTTTTCTATGTTACCCATCCCTAAGTGTCAGGGACTTCTCTGAATATTAAGCCCTGTGTAGGAGCAAGATGGGAAGTGTAGATCTGATGGAGAGGTTTGGTGTGAAATAACTCTTACCTCACCCATCAGTCACAAGAATCCTACCTCTGGAAAGGTGCAGATGGCACAAAGCAGGATGAACAGCATTGCCCAGAGTCGTTGGGCTTATGCCACAAGCCAGATCTGCTCATGATGCTGTAACTTCAGGTTAGTCCATTTCTGGAGAGGAGGCTGGGATGAAACCCTGAGAGCACCAGCGGGGAGGAGAGGTAACAGGATGGGTCATGGTTTCATCTTACTCCCAGAGCTCTCCAGCAGCTGCTGAATTCCAGTTGTGTGACACACCTCTCTGGATTCACAGAGGGAATGCTGTGTCCTCTCCTGCTGGACTTCTGCAGAAGGATGACACCCTCATCCATGATCAGCCTGCTACAAATGAATCAAAGAGGGGGGAACATTCTTGTTTCCCCCCACTCTGCTCTGTCAGCACACCTCATTTAGGGCTGAGTCCCTGTGGAAGATCCTAGAACATGCTTAATTGCTCTTACATGTGTTCTGAAAGGAATGACTGTTTATGTTGGTAAAACCTTGTGATACACAAGTCACATAGCATCAGATTATTTACATTTCTAATTCTCTTCTACATATGTTCTAATGCTTTTCTGCAGGCACATGTCTTGTCTTTAATCTTGGAACATCTGTCCCTACTTCCCCTTCTCTATCCTGCTGTTCTGCTTTTATCTTTGTTAGAATAGGACAGTCCCCAAGGCAGGCATTGCACCTTGGCTTCTTGTCTCTCTGTGCAATGCTCTGGAAATGTTGCTATGTGAGCACTTTGCTCACTCAAGTGTCTCAGTGACACCACCACAGCCACCAAAGTAATTGTTTTTATAATTTAGTTTTCTTCTATATGAAAATAGGAGTTTTCAATAAAGGCAGCAGTGTAGCAGTGCACCTAAATAAAACAGAGCATCAGCAATTGCCTGTGGGAGTAGGAGCTTTAAATAAATAGTAAAATATTCCAAATCTTCACATTAGAAAGTTTTCATTGTTTTGAAGTGACTTTCCATGTCTTTTACACAAAGGACTAATGTAGCAGATGCTGAATCAGTGTCTTGGCTCAAATGTGGCACAGGCTGATAGCAGGCATGGGCAACACCCCTGTTCCTTGAACTGCTGGAGCCCTTGGGGCTGTCCTGCAGGAGTGAAGAGCAAGAAATAATCACCCTGTTCCTAATTTCCTTTTATTGCCATCATTAAGAGCATCTCCAGTTGGCTTAATGATATCCTAGTGCTTGACAGTTTGGATGCTGCTCTGTGACATGGGCCATACTTTGCAGCCACTAGGAATAGCAGAAAGTGCTGGACATCATTCCCATCAGACTGGCTGAGGGTGCACATGTGCTCTAAACACAAAGTGCAAGATTTAGAAGTAATTCTGTGACTCAGTGTGGACTTGGTAAGGTTTTATTGTGTGTTTGAGCAGCACTGAGGGCTCTGCTGGGTGTGAGATGATGCAAAGTGTCATCCAACAATGGCACTCAGCTGGGATAACCAAACCTGAATTTAAGGCATGGGAGTGAAATAAATGGCACATCCTGGACTATGGACCTACACCATAGCAGCTCTTTCAGCCTAACCACTTGCTTGATTCCAAGCCAGATGACACTTGCCTAATAAACATTGCTGGTCTGTTACCATTCCTGTGTTCTGTTTTCAGCCTATTTTGCAATGCAGGTGATCTACGCTCGTCGGAAGTACAAGATTTCCCCTCCTGAAACAACAGGTCACCCTGAATTCGAGCGGACCTTCAGAGCTCAGTAAGATTTTTACTTTTTGTGGTGACTTTGTCTAGATAAGACTTAAGTCAACTGTTGGGAGAGACTGGTCTCCCTCAATCACCTCTCCACATACTGCTACTGTTGTTATTTTTTTTTTTCAGTGCTTTGTGTGCAAAGGTCTGCGTTTTGATTTGAAGCACTTTGGCTGGGGTGTTTCTGTCCATCCATGATAATTCTCCTTCTGGCATTGTGAGGCAGCCAAATTACAAATTAGTGGCCGTATGGAGGAGGTGCAGAGCATTCACAATTAGAATCATTAAATTTAATATTACCATTGGCTCCAAATGGTGAGAGCAGCCAAAGCTTTATTAATAACCTGATATTTTCTTGTAATGTTTTGCTGTTGAATTGAAGAAAAGGGCCTTGCTTGCAGAACCAGCCACAAGGGCATTTTAATTTTTTCCCTTTCAGAAGCCATTGTACAGTGAGAATCAGCACTGGTGGGCCCCTGCTGAGGGCTGTTTCTTTTTGCTCTGTTCCTATGGAGAGAGCAATGCTGGAGCTAAACTGGAAATGTTCACAGATACTTTCAGCTTCCAGAAAGCACCAGATTCCATCTTTCATCTCAGTCGTTCTGTTTTGTGAGCGATTGAAAGGAATTGGCTGGAGCTGGTGTGAAGGGTAATTCCAGCCCGGCACTAAATCCCGAACAAAGCAGCTGCGTTCCCTTGCCAGCGCACAGGAAACGTTTGTGGAGTGACAAAAACACCAGCTCCAGTCCTTGTGTGGGGCCAGGAAGGCCAGCCTGCCTGGAGACATCAGCCTCTGCGAGCTGGGGAACTGCTGATGTGGCTTTTAACTAAATACTTCATTATTAAATGTGTGTTGACCAAGTCATGCCATGGGCTGTGGCAGGGAAGGTGACCTCAGGGAATTTGGACTTAAGAAGGACTTGCTTCATTGTGGGTTTTTCTTCTCTTTCCCTGTGGAAGAGTGTACAAATGGATAATCTGATATATTGAAAAAAAAAAAAAAAAAAAAAGAAAAAGTGGTATTGATGCATTACTCACTTGAAACCTGGCAGCCTCCCCTCACTGAGGCTCAAACTGCATTTACAGAATAAGGTTCTTCAGACTTTTTCCAGCTCCCAGTCTGGCTCCATTCTCCAAAGGTTTGTATATTTTTGGCCAACATTAAGATTAAATTGCCTAGGGAATGGTAAAATGTGGGAGAAGCAAAACCAATGTCTTTAATAGCACAGTTCCTACTCTTGCAGAAAATCTGTAATTCTGTCACTAAAGCAAAAAGGAGGAAAACCTGGCTGTAAATCTGATCACCTCCTGCTGAATTTTATCTGAGAAGGCTCCTTCTTGGTGGGTGACTTGTGTGACTCCCCAATATGGGCTGTGCTCACCCAAGGGGAAGAGAAAGCTCCCTAAATACTGACAAGAAGGCTCTCCCCCAGCAGCCAGTGGTGCAGCAGCTGTCTGGGATGGTGCTGTGTGTGGGATGGAGCCTGTTGAGGGTCCAGCAAAGACAAATCTCCATCTCAGCCACAGCTTGTCACTCCAGGGCCCTGTGAATGCAGGAGAGGTGAATGCTGTGTGTTGTTTGGCTGCTGTTTTCTCTACAATACAGACATTGGGTGTTCTTGATCACAGAAAAGACCCCTTTCCGTCAGCACAGCAATGGTTCTCATCAGCTCTTTTATCTTGCTCCAACGTGAGTTTCCAATTCCCTTCTCCAGCCCTGGTTATCCAGGCTCTGATGTACAACGAGGCAGTTTTAACTCTCATCTCTGGTTCTCACCAGGGCAAACTGCTCAGAGTACTTCCCAATCTTCATTTCCCTCCTCTGGGTTGCTGGAATCTTCTTCCATCAAGGTAAGAGGGATGTGGGGCGGGGGGAACTCCAACACAAACCATGTGAACAAGCCAAAAAAACTCGGCCTAGTTTAAATACCAGTGTAACTCAGGCATTCTCTCTGTGCCTGTGAGGCTCTTGTTCATGGAAAGCAAATTTCCCTTTTAGCTGGATTGAGAAGTGCCTCAACTCCAGCAGGGAGCAGCTGAGCCCATTCCTGCCTGGAGGAGGAAGCACTGGCAGCCCCTGCTCCTTTGCTGGAGTCTGGCTGTTCCCTCGTGCTGCTCCTCTTGGACAAGGTCAGGCTGTCCCAGGGTACCGGAGTGGCAGCAGCTGAGGCAGAGCTATGTCAGAACAAGAAACCATAACCCAAACATTTACTCATCCATTGTCTATCCCTACCAAGTCAGCTCGGGGAATTTGGTTGCTGCCACCACTTATTTGTGAGGAGAAACCATGTAAGGGAGCATTGCCAACCCAAGTCTCAGAGCAACTCTGTGGGGCAGAGAAGTTCATCCCTCACAAAAAGGGAAGGAAGAAAACTCATTTAATCTCACACTCTGTGTTTGGTTTTCTGCTGGGGAGACTGTGCTGGAATGCAGCTCCAGCAGTCGGGGATCCTGAGCCCCAGCAGCACTCGGCTCCCCTGTCCCCCAGGTGTGACTGCAGCCTGTGGGCTCCTGTACCTCTACACCCGCCTCAGGTACTTCCAGGGCTACGCTGTGGCAGCACAGGGACGGTAAGGACCTGACTGGGACCGTGGGCACCCAAACCAGCCCAGGGAGCCTGAGCAGCACGTGGCCCCTGGAACAGGTTTCCTCCCTATGGGTGGGACTGCAGGCAGATTTTCACCACCTCCTCCTCCTCCCCTCCTGCCCCATGTGCTCATGGCTGTGCCACCTCTTCCCTGGCTGTCCCAAAGTGGGCTGGGGACTCTCAGCCCTGCCAGGGTGCCTTGTGCCCTGGCTGGGCTGGCAGTGCCTGATGGTGTTTTCTCCCACCCAGGTTGGGACCACTGTATGCCAGTGCCTGGCTGCTCTGGGTGCTGGTGGGGCTAGCACTGGCTGGGCTCCTGGCACACTTCCTGAGGCCCAGCTCCTCCACATGGATGGCAGCACTGGTGTGGCCTCTCCAGCTCTGTGGTGCCTGGTGAGAAGGGTCACAGGTCTCCCAACACCGTGTTTGCTCCTGGCACAGGGGAGCCAGTCATACAGCACCATCAGAGAGAGAATATTTCCCTGGCTCTGCATTCCCTGCTGAAGGGAGATGGATGCTGGCGCTCCTCTGGTCTTCAGAGATAATTTCCCTCCTAGAAAGCAAATGCTTTCCAGCCCCTGCCCCTGCTGAGGAGATTCACTGCTGGGCTTTGTAGCACTGTCTGCTCTAAAATGCCTCTGGCTCTGCCTCATGGAGCACAGGTTGACCCACATGCTGTCATCTCTCCTTACTGCTGTAATGATCTATGTTGAAGAATCATACCATGGATATAAAAAATAAATTCTTTTTCTGACTAGAAATCATCTGTGATTGTCAAAGGTGCTCAGAGACTGGTGTGAGAACATCTGAGTTGGGGACTGGGTTTCATAGGAAAAGCTGCTGTGGTTAACTGAAAAGGATGGGTAAGCTTGCCTAAAACCACATCCAAATATTGGGAGAAAAGCCTGACCCTAGCTCAAGTACTAAAGTCTGTTTAGCATTGATTAAATGACCTTTACTTTACCCCAGCTTTACTTATCACCAACTCTGCAACAGGACTTTGCACTCCCTGGATTCCACCCTCCACTGTGAACTTGGGGTTCCCAGGTGCCTAAAGCAGCCCTGCTGGCAAGTGACTCTCACTACTGCACCAAAGGTTTAAATTTAGCTTTTATTACAGTGCACATTGTTTTATATATTTATATAGAGAGATGTACTTGAAAAATCAAATGTATCCAATAATAAAAAATACAGAACATTAAAGTAGTATAATGCATTCCAGTGTATAGCTGAAAGGACATTGGGATTTACACTAATCCCTACTATTTTTGAACTGGGCTACCTCTGCTTTTATTTTTTCCGTCCCCAAAAAACCCACATCAATCAATAACTGAATTAGTTATTTAAAAGACAGTTTCTGCACTCAATCTCAAGGCATGAAGACACTGGAGACTTCACCGTGAGTTAAGGGGCTGTGTTCAATGCTGGCAGGCACAGTGTGGCGTATTTTATTTTTTTGTTTTCCCTGCCATAATCATAGCTCCAACCCCTTTGGATTCGTTCCTCCTCTGCTGAAGGAGGGTCAGTCTTTGCCCTCACTTAATCCTCAGCTGTGGCCAGGACTGCTGCCTGGGAGAGGGCAAGGCAGACCTCAGGCCCTGCCGCCTCCATCCCAGCGCGCCGGTGGGGTCAGCTGGCAGGACTCGTGTGACCTGCTCTGTCCCCACACACAGCCAGAGACTGCCCTGTCCGGGGCTGAAGCTGCTTTTTGTGCCCACGCTGGCTAAAGCTCATCCCGACCCCAAACTGTCCCGTGTCCGTGTGTCCCGAGCGGCAGCAGCACCCTGAGGGAGCGGAGCAAAGCCACCCCTCTGCACAGGGGGTTGGGTTCTGCTTTCTGCTCCTCTTCTGGAGAAGCCGATGCCCGTCCTGGCCCGCAGCCCCGCTGGGGAAGGCGCAGCAGCAGCTCTGCCGTGGTCTGCGGGCGAGTGCCGCCTCCGGCCCTGCGCTGTCCTGCTCCGGGCAAGGCGCCGCGGGAGGAGGGAGCGGGAGGGAGGGAGCAGGACCAGGGATCCACAAGGGTGTCCGTTCTGCCTCATGCCTGTTTCACTCTGCTTTTTTGATAAAAATCTGAAAGAAGAGAGGGATGGGATCAGAGCGATGAGCAGGGTAAGGGTTGGGAGGTGCTGAGGGAGCTCAGCGTACCTCGCTCAGGATGATCCACACCGGGGAGTCGGTCTGGATGGACAGCCTGATGGCCTCCAGTGGCCCAAAAGATGGGTCCACCTCACCCTCTGCGACGCCCTTGGAGAACGAGCCTGGTGGGGAGAGCACGTGGCTGAGACAGGGATGGTCCTCTGGCACTGCTCCTCCACTTCCCCTCTCCCCAGGGCACCAACACCCCAGCAGTCCCTGCCTGCAGCTCCCCAGCACAAAACACGCTAAAAACCAGCAGCATGGATGGCAATACAGTGCAAAATGCCACACTTTGGAGAACACAAATCAGGTAAACAAAACAAAATGTACTTGGAGTCTTTGGTGACGTATCACTGCTGTATGAAAGGGGACAGAGTGGTCTTACATGCTTTTTGGTTGTGAATTTTTTTTTTTTTTTTGAAAATGCAACTGGGAGAAACCAGCCAGCACGCAGAGGAATGAGAAAATGGCAAAATGCTGCATGTGTCAGGAAATCTTTCTTTATTTTGTCTACTTAAAAAAACCTGACATCTTAGCAGGGACACCAGGGCTGTATCACACACTGGCAGCTCTCTGGAGCTACTCATTCTTGTCCAAGGGCAGGACAAGCACTTAAACAAGCTCAGGTGGCAAGAGACGAAGTCTGACCTGCAAGTGGTGTGATACAGAGATGGCAAAACTGCCCGTGGTGGAGGTTTTTAACCTCAGGTTAAGCAAACGAATAATCAGCATCATTTGGTCCCGGCTCTGAGCAGAGACAGTGACAAATACTATTCAGCCTGGTTCCTGGCAAGCAGAAATTACTCTTTGCCATGCAAACAGCTCTAAGGTTCTTGAATGACACGCAGGTAAGGATAGGGCTGTGTTATCAAAGCCAGCAGGCACTTTACCACCCCACAGCCCCCCATACCTATCTGGATGTAGCCATCCGCTGTCCTCTGGTATTTGACGACTGTGCCTCTTCCCTCCTGCAAGGCTTCCTTATCTGACTGTAGACTCTGCAGAAGGAGAGGAGTTTTGTGCAAGGCCAGAGGCAAGAGTCACCCAAAAGCCCCAGGGAAAAGCAGCAACCCCAGAGCTGCCCTTGCCAGCAAACCCTGGCGTCTCGTCCCATACCTGGCACCCCGAGACACATGCCCAAAACAAGAGGACAGGTCAGTCCTCACGCTGCTGTTTCCACTGCACCATTCTGGCTTCATCCCCTCCTCTGCAGCCATCCCACCCACTGGAGCATCCCCAGGCAGGGATGGCTCACACAGCCGTGCTCAGCAAAACACCCTGCTCCCGAGGTGGCATCACACCAGGCATGACCCTCTGGCTCCCTGCCAGCACCTGTAAGAGGCACTCGAATCTTGTACAGATTTTCCTGATGGCTTTAAGCAGTTCCCTACTCTCAAGCCTCTTTTGCTTCCCACTCCACCCTCACCTCAGATCTCAATCAACACTTACGTCAAACGGCAGAACCTCCACGGTCGTGTTGAAGAGTTTGTCTTCTGGGTGCTCGATGTTCCCGCTGCGGAAGAAGAACCTGTGACAGAGACCAAACCCACAGAAAGGCACACTGAGCGAGGGGGCAGAGGATGGCTTTCACCCCCTCTGAACCATCCAACAGCTCAACATAACAGGGACCTTCCCAAAGAGCCCGCAGCACCATTTGGCAGGAGACTTTCTGTGCCAGATTAGCTAAACTATGGACTGCTCACAAGTGCAGCAGAGAACTCTGGCAAAGGTGGCCCCACTGAGAAAGGGTCAAATTATCCTTCCCCTGGAAGAGCACTGCTCTCTCCTCCTGGGCAGCCAAGCAGGAGATGGGCAAGAAATTTGATTTAAATTGCCAGAAGAGCAAAAGTCAAGTGTCTCCACATGCTCTGGGCTGTCCCCACACCCCCGCTGACCCCTCAAGCACTGGCCTTTCAATACGGAGTGGTTTGAAGAATCTGAATCGGATGAAGTCTCCGGCAGTGGGAGTGAAGGCCCAGAAGAAGTCCTCCCGCAGGTAAGCCTTCTCCAAGGTGAAGTGCTGGTAGGTTTTCAGGCTGGTGCTCACCTCAGCAGGAGGGTTGACATGCTCTTTCCGCAGTGCGTGTTTTCCAAAGTCCTTGTCCTTGGTGGGCACAAAGCAAAAGGGCAGAGAAGGGCCATGAGCTGCTCTGGCCCGTGAGAAACCAAGGCCCCAGCTACAAGGCACTGCAAATTAAAATTCTGTGATTTGCAAGGCACAGAAGGATGAGAGATGGAAGTAATTTGGGCAAGGCACCAGGCAGAGGAATGTGTGATTGGCTCCCAAGACACTGCTTCAGGAGAGGCAGCTCAGAGAAGTACCCCTGCTCTGCGCTCTGATCCAGCACACCAAAGAGCCTATCATTGTCCAAATGTCCTTGAATGCCTGTCCATGCCCCAGGAGCTCTGGAAACAGTCTTTGCACTTGAGGAGCAAGCAGCTGGGAGGCTGACAATAGCATAAAACGACTGGATTACATGGCCTGACAGCACTGCACTGGGATACAAACTGGATTATACCATCCATTTCCCCAGGGATCACACAGACAGCACAGCCCAGGGATGTCTGTCCATGGATTCTGCACTTGAAGTTGTGGAAAACTGCATTTTGTTCATGTTTAAACACACATCAACAATTCTACCTCTTATACAATGAGTAATAATCTGTCCATCACTAAATCCAGGGAACATGAAGTGGAGCAGGAGGGAAGTCAGACCAAACCAGGAGTCATCTCTCACAAGATTTTTCAGTAGATTCTTCAAAGTCACTTGTCTGGACCATGGCCTGGCACTCAGGATGGGTGGCCAAGACTGGTATCAAGGCTTATAATCTTGCAGTGATTCTTAGTGCATGTCACTGCCATTCTGAGGAGCAGGAGCTATCTGAGCTCACTGTAATTCAGAGTAAAACGCAACCACTTCACAGAAATCCAGCTGCCACCAGCTGCTGTCACGGATGTCCCCACCCAAAAGCAGCCAGTTCCCAGGCCACCTGTAGCTTGGAGAAAGAGCTGATACCCACCTTCAGCTTCTGTATCTTCCCAGCCAAGGAGGAGTGGGTTCCCACATGCTGGAAGAGCGAGGGCTTGAAGCGGATCCTCAGGTTTGCCTTCTGCCTGTCGCAGTGTTTCTGAAATGAGACAGCCCCACAGTGCCCCAGGCTCAGACCTCTGCAGGCCATTGTGGCCAAAGAGCAATGGACAGGGGCACAGGGAGTGACAGACAAGTCCTCCATCTCTGTGCCCTTCTGTGGTACTTAGGCTTTAATCTGGCAAGAGGGCTTTTAACCACACTTTGGAGAAACCGGACTGTGACTCTCAGCCACTTGCCCCCAAGGCTCTGCTGGACAGGGTCCAGGTTTAAGTGCCAAATTTCTCCTTGCCAAGCATAGCTAAGAACACTGAGCAAATCCCTCTGTGTTGTCAGGGAGGAACAGCCAGAGAACTGAGTTTCCTTTGCCCTTTGGCTTGTTGGGAAAGCCTTTTTCCTACAACTTGGAGCTTGGGATCCCTGATGTCTGAAGGTAGAATAATCCTGGGATGACTCAGAGCCAGGTGAACAGGTACCAAGCGTGGGCTCTCTCTGGATGAGCAGCTCCCAGTTTGCTGGCAGGAGTTGTGAGCAGATGTACAGCACGTGCCATTGTCAGAGCTGCTGGGCTGTTTCACGCCTATCCACCACATAAATAAACTTGGAGACGCAACTGGGCTCCTGGCAGTGATTTACCACGGAGTGGAGGGAGAGAGACGATGAAGAGGGACTAAAGGACAAAAGGGAAAATCGCTGAGAGTGTGGGGAGATGAGAATTCACATTTTAAAATAGCTCATTTCTCTCAGTTTGGGGGAGCAGGACAAAAATACAGGTTAAAAGCTGTATGAAGAGCGTATTTGTTATCCAACTTTGGCTTTTTCCAAGAAAAGAAATGCATGCACATCCCTAATGCCATCTGCTCCTGCAGCCTCCCACCCAGCAGAAATCCCACGGTGGCTGCCTGGAACAGACAGGATGCCACACCAAGCCCCCACCATGGGCCAGGAGCTGGGAAATTCCAGGCATGACCCCTGCGA